CAATGGCTCACAGTGACGTGCCAGTGGACTCGAACGTTGTCGATGTCGCATTCAGCAAGTCTGGCACTCGGATAGCGGTCCTCATGAGAGATTGCTTCTCTATCTACATGTGGTCATTGAAGACTCGTCCTGTTCCTTCTCCAATACTCGAGTCTAGCCATCCCTTGCCGGACACGGTAGACAATCGGCCACGACAGATCGCTTTTTTGAACGAGAATCAAGTCTACATTCTCAGAAACAGTGGACCGAACAGTGCTTGTATTCAAAGGACAACGCTCGAGACTCGATCAACGACGACCGTCTATCAAACAACAGACTCGGAGCAGATTCTCACAATTTTCCCAACCCTTGGAAATGAAGCTTTGTGGTTTTCGCATGTCCGTCAACCTGGGCGTCCAATCGCGTACTCTATCCTGAAGGCCTTCTCCGAAGAAAATGTCGAAGTGGATTCCTGGGACCAGAGTCCTGCTGTCGACACTCACTGGGCTCGGGCTGTCCACTTGTCAGATGATGAGGTATTAGTTCTCTTGCCTACAATTGACTTCATACTGGCTGACAACTCTAAAGCGCATTTTAATTTCATTGTCGAGGACCGGGGCCCTTTATGCGAATAGTCAACTGCTTGCAAAGAATTGCACGTCCTTTCTTCTGACCCAAGCGCACGTCTTGTTTACTACTTCCCAGCATCTTCTCAAGTTTGTTCACTTGACAAAAGCAGAAGGTTTGTTGAGTATTGCGATCTCATTACTAATTTCTAATGGCTGATTTCAACTTGCAGAGATGGAAGTTCCTGCCGATACTCCCGAGACAGACGAACGATGCCGAAGTATCGAACGTGGAAGCAAACTGGTATCTGTCATACCCACTAAATTCGCTGTTACCCTACAGGCGCCTAGGGGCAACATAGAGACAATCTATCCTCGAGCTCTGGTCTTGGCCGGCATCAGAAACTACATCGATAGAAAGGACTATCGCTCCGCGTTCCTTGCCTGTCGCAGCCAGATGGTAGACATGAACATCCTTCATGATTATGCACCTGAACAATTCCTGGAAAACGTTGCACTATTTGTGGATCAAGTCAAGAGAGTCGATTTCATCGATGAATTCCTATCCCGGTTGAGGTGAGTGGACGGCCTGACTTTTCCTCTCGAGAGCCTTGCTGACCGGCCCTCAGTGAGGACGACGTCTCGCAAACCTTGTACAAGGACACGTTGAAGACGCCCAAGGAGGTTCAAACCACAGTTCAGCCGGAGGGTACGGCCTCTTTCAAGCCGGCAACTAAGACCAGCAAGGTCAACCGGATCTGCGATGCTTTTTTGGCCACCCTTGAGAAACGCTTAGACACCAACTTGCATAACCTGGTCACTGCACATGTTTGCAAATCGCCACCGGATCTTGAGGCTGGACTTCAGCTTGTCGCTCGCCTGAGAGGTTTGATTACAGTCACGGGTACTCCTTTGCCAGTTACTGACCGCTCTACAGAACAAAGCGCGGAGCAAGCAGAGGACGCAATTGAGCATATGTGTTTCCTCACGGATGCTCACCGTCTATACGACCATGCATTGGGGCTCTACGACCTCGAGCTCACCTTGTTGGTTGCTCAACAGGCTCAAAGGGTAAGATCGGCGCCGTCTGGCTGGCGAACGAGTCTCTAATCTCGTGCAGGACCCTCGAGAGTACCTCCCATTCCTGCGGAAACTTCAGCAGCTTCCCGACGATCGACGCCGTTTCGAAATAGACAACTATCTTGGCCGCTGGGCGAAGGCTTTGAAGCATCTCCATACTCTCAATACCTATGACGAGATGCGCGCGTATGTCATAAAGCATGAGCTGTACAAAGAAGCGATTGACCTATTCAAATATCAGCCAGAGCAGCTGCGTGATATAACACATGTCTATGCTGACTTCCTGCACGACCACTCCAAATACAAAGAAGCAGGAATCGGTACGTCTCTCCATTCTTAGATAATCCCGCCGAGCAGCCCCCGAACACACTGATGCTGACTTCTTTCTAGCCTACGAGTCTCTTTCGCTCTACGAAGATGCATACAAGTGCTATCACCTGGCGCACCTCTGGCGGGAGTCTCTATACTGTGCCCTAATGGTTCCTCTATCGGAAGCCGACCTCACTGCGCACGCACTTGCTCTATCGACTACATTGACAGAAGAAAGCCGCGACTACGTCTCTGCAGCTCAAATCCACGCAGAGCACCTGCACGACATCCCGGCAGCCGCCCGTCTGCTCTGCCGCGGCTCTCGCTTCGCGGATGCGACGCGTATCCTCGCGCTCCATGGTAAAAAAGATCTGATCCCGGAGATTGTAGACACAGGGCTCGCAGATGCCATGGGAACCACGACGGACCTCCTCGCCGACTTCAGGTCACAGTTGAATGCCCAGGTTCCTCGTATCCGAGAACTACGTGAACGCCGTGCTGCCGATCCCCTAGCCTATTTCGGTGGTGATCCAACCACTGGTGACCTCGGAGTCGATATTCCGGATAACGTGTCTCTGGCTCCCACGGACGCCTCCACACTGGCTGGTCGCACCATGTTCACGAGGTACACAGGCAAAACGACATCCTCACGACATACGTCCAAGACCCGGCGGCGTGAGGAGCGAAAGCGGGCGCGTGGTAAGAAGGGCACGGTCTACGAAGAGGAGTACCTGGTCAACAGTGTGCGTCGACTCATTGAACGGGTCAACTCGACTGTTCCGGAGGTGGAAACGCTTGCTGACGCACTCCTGCGGCGGGGCATGCGCGAGCGCGCCGTTGCTATTGAAAAAGCTATGCAGGAAGTGCTAAAGATGTGCGCTGAAAGTCGGGAGGAAGTGTTCGGCGCCCCGGAACAAGACGAGAGTGAGAATGCCGAAGAGGGTCTCGACAGGGAAAACGTCGACGGTGCCGAAGAACTTAGACCTCGTGGGGGACAGCGCGTGTTCGCTGAGAGTGTCACGTCCGTGCTCGGCACCGGTAAACCAGGGCGGGAAGTCCCACCGGTCAGGGAAATGAAGAAATCTGCCCTGCTGAACTAGTCTCCTGACATGAAATGAGTTTTGAGTATGTTTGTTGGGCCACTATCTGCTGAGGTAAATACTGGATAGATAAAAAGGACATATAAACCCGAAACCCAACAGCGTCTGGACCACGTGCTAATGGACGTTGCACCATGCAATGCTGTAAAACATGATATGCAGTTGTAGTTTAATATTTTGACGTGCATGATAGGAACTGTTGTTGCGCCAGTCTTTGCGTTAAACAAATTTGGATTAAAACCACAATGGACGATTCAGAAGTAACGAAAATGATCACAGCTGGGTATCTTCTCGTACCAAGCACCATGTGTCAGGGCACTTGTACATAGCTGATTAAGATGTTTTGCAGTGCTCATAGCATTTCAAGAAGAGAGGATATCACCTGTTGCGCTCACAAGGTGATCCTCCACACTGATAGGACCCTCCCCCACACCAGTCAAAATGACGCGGCTGATGCCGTTCTTCAAGACTTCGACAGCTCTAGAGTCAACTTTCTCCAGAGGCACGCCTGGAGCAGTGACGTCCTTCAAGATATCGTAGAATGGGCCGTCGAACCCTTCAGTGTTGGGGCCCAAAATAGCCTTGACGGTTCCTGCGACCAGCTTCGAGTCTTTCTCAGGGTAGTAGATAACGGCATTCGGGCCAGCGTCGAATGTGTAAGCACACACAGTCTGGCCAACGGCACGGTTGATGTCGTGGACGAGTCTCACGGCAGCTCTGGAGACGTCGTTCATGTAGAAGATCGGAGGCCAGGAGTCGAGGCAAGTTGCGTGGAAGCTGTTAGAGTCACGCATAGTGATTTCGGCAAAAACAGGGAAGTCCTTATTCTGGATTGCCGTCTCAATGGCGGCCATCCGCTCAGGGACAACAGATGCGGCCCGGGTAGCAAAGAGACTCGAGGTAGCAACAGTAGTCTGCATACCCTCTGTACTGGGGACGTCTTTCTTCTCGGCACTGACGACAAGGATGATTGCACGCATCTCAGGCCAATGAGATGCAGGAGCGACTTCCTCAGCCAGGCTGTCACTACCATCTTCCCGCTCGCCAGCACGCCAGGCAACATAACCGCCCATCAGAGACCGACAAGCAGAGCCGGAGCCCTGACGGGCAATACGGCTGAGCTCCAGGGGAGATTGTGGAAGCTGATAGAGATCCGCTATGGCACGGACAAGTGCTGCGAAACCAGCGGCCGAGCTCGCAAGACCAGCAGCGGTGGGGAAGTTGTTCTCGGAAACAATTCGCAATGGGAGAGCACACAGTTTAGGCAATGAGGGGTCGGCATTTTCGAGAGCCTGACGGAGGGAACGCAGATTGGAGAGACAAGCGAGTGTGCGTTTGGAGGACTGAATATCCTGGGGCTTGCCGTTCAAGATGAGCTCGTCGGCGGCGGGGTAGATAGCTGAACAGGAGGCGGTAGTGAGGGTTCGGAGGGAGCGCTGAGAAAGAGTAACAGAGAGGGAAGAATTGGTTGGCAGATTCAGAGACGCATCTCTTTTACCCCAATACCTGAGTACCCCTGTTAGGAGGAAACGAGAATCACCACAGGACGGATTAGGGGGCGATAGTCGACTCACTTAATAACAGCAATATTGACCGGGGCGGTAGTGGTAGCCCGATAGACCGTACGATCAGAAGTAGCCGCCATCTTGTTCGAATGCAAGGGAGTTGCGTTTCTGTCGAAAGCAGGGGGGAAAGTGGTATACTATAAACTCAATTGCTGATGAGGGGCTGTGGATTATTTGACCATCTCGGGCGTTACCCTTTCGGGCAATCAGCGCATTCTACAGTACGGAGTAGTGCGGTGTACCTCTCTAAAAGGTCGGCGGTGAAAGGCGGTCAAGCCTCCGAAATCCTTCTCCGCCTTCCAATCTCTTGACTAATCCAGCAATTTTTATGGGTGCTTTCAGCGAGATAGACCCTGAGATCGTACATCTTGTCTTGGATTGGTTGGCCGCAATTGATCAAAATGGGCGCCGGTGCAAGTACGCCATCTGTTCCCCCTGCAAACTCAGCTCCCGCTGCAACTTGTCCTGTCGATCACAAGACCCGTGAGATATGGTTGCAGCAGCACAATGCTTCGGGCGGAGCTCCCCATCCTCTGCCTGGAGAAGAAGAGAAAGCAAAGACAAAGCTTCAGCGGCCACTGTCTACGGATCGTGAAGTGAGCAGCATACCACGAGCTCTCGATGCCTCATCGCGAGCATCGTCTTCCGAAACTCCCGCGGCATGTCCGTCGCCGTATGCCGCATCGCACGGTACACCATCGAATGCAGAGGCCGAGACGGGTCATGACCAGAGTACAGGCAATTGGATCTATCCATCTGAGCGACAATTCTTCGAGGCTCTAGTACGGAAAGGAAACACACCTGCCAGCACAGGCTCGGCGTCCGAACTGGCGACAACAGTAGCATCGATTATCCCAATCCATAACGCCGTCAACGAGCGTGCCTGGAGGCAGATCCTTGAATGGGAAAGTCAGGCGCCGTCGTCAGATCCTGGTAGCAAGAAATGCGGTGGACCAAAGCTCTATTCATTCCGCGGGCTGGGCGTCGATCCCCAGTTTCTCAGTCCTCGCGCCCGGTTCAATAGCTTGCTAGGATACCAAAAGCCCTTCGACCGACATGACTGGGTGGTGGAAAGATGTGATGGCGAGCGTGTTGAGTATGTCATTGATTTCTACCAGGGGAAGTCATCAGGAACGGACAGTGGTCCAGCTGGATTAACGGCCAACGCGGGGCCAGGGAAGCTCAGTTTCTACCTCGATGTACGACCAAAGCTCAATACGCTCGAGGGCTGGAGGATGAGATTCAGACGCTTTACAGGATTATAGAACATGCGTCTGTGTCCATCAGTTAACTGGTTTGTTTATTATTCCCCGCTTGCACATACAGAGGCGAAAAGGAGTTTGGGTGTATATTAGCAGCAAGTATCTCGGTGTATGTTCTTGTATAACACAGCAGCTATGTATGATAAGGAACAAGCACGCAAAGCAGGACTTCTAATGAAATATTCTTCACTCCAAATGCGCCTGTTGTTCATCAAAGGAAACAAGTCATGAGTGTGGTGAATCAGTACCAGCAATTCAAGGTAAAGTCATACATGGAATCATATAGCTGAGGATATCGTCGTAAGAGGGAAGGTAAAAGGGTAGTCGGTTCGAGAAAGGCCAATCGAAGTAATCCGAGCTGTCCGACACAGTCATAGCAGACTATCCGAGAGTGACTGCTAGGACAATAATGACCAAAATCACGGCAAGGATAAGAAGGAGGCAGCAAGCCTTGTTCCGAGCGTTCTTTTGGTATCTACTGGCGCTGCGAAGCTCGACGTTCGCGCCCCGAGTGTCCGTAGTGACTCTCTCTACGTTCTCGCTAATGATGTCCAGCTGGCCTCCTTGCTCGTGAACAATATGCGCGACGTCACGGAATAGTTCGTTCAGCTCGCCAACGCTTTGCTCAATGTTGCGAATCTCCGCTTCGCGCTCAATGATAAGAGCCTCCTGGAAGTCCACCTCATCTTGGTTGGCGAGACGAGGCTGCTCCTCGAGCAATTGTTGTTGCTGATGGGAGGTACCATCTACTGGCGCATGTTCCCCCTCTTCCACTGCTGAGCGAGCGGCAACTGCAGACGCTCTTTGCTTCTCCAAAGCTCGACGCTGAACGGTCTGGAACTCCTCCAGTGTCGCCTTGAACTCTGACGACAGCTTCTGTTGAGTCCATTTTTGTGAAGGCTAACGAGTCATTTAGTATTAGTCGCACCCAAGGGAAGCAACAATATATATATTCCGGCAACGTACATTAACATCCTCCCACATCTGGACTTTCTTGATCCCTTCGCCTACATGCTTGAACCCCGATCGAGTTTCCTCGAGGAGATTGTGGACTCGTTCCCGCACCCGCTCAGTGTCCCTTTTCGTTCCTAGAAGCGCGATCTGGTCCGACAGCCGTGTGATATTCGAGGTTAAAGTGAACAACTGGTTTGAGAGACTCTCCGTTAGACGGTCAAAGTCGGGGTCATCACGGTAGTGAGGATCCTCCGAGCGGCGCATAGTAGTAGGCTGCGCCTCCAGGGAGTTCAAACGATCGAAGGACATGATGTGCGTCGTTATATTAGAAAATAAGTGATAGAAGGGTATGTTGCAGCAGGATGATGCATCAACATGCGGAGGTTGCCTTGGAGGAGCACTGTTGATGCCCGGATCTGCAGGCTTCTATCACATGATGGATCTAGTACGGCAGAGCCTTGGAACTCTGCAAGCGGAATAGCGTAATCTACCTCATCAGCTAGCCTCATCACCTGATCAACACGGCTGTGGCTGGTGTGTTTTGATGCTTTTGCCTCAAAAAGCTTCAATTATTTTATCATCGCATTCGGGCAAGCTGTCGACGCATCGCCCTGGTTCCTGCTGCTCCACAGAGGCGCCATTGTACCTCAGTCTCCCATTCCCTTGGTATAGGGTTCAAATCGCTCGGCGACTTTGATCATGCTCTAAATTTCTTACGTCTACTTCTCTACCTAGAGATCTCAGTGTCCCTCTTTCATTTTTCGTCATGGCCGCCGCTATGCCTCGGCCATATAGGCGCATTCTGACATCTGCGCTGCATCGGAGATTTGTCCATGCATCTGCCCTAGCGCTTTCAGTCTGCTATTTTGTTGCATTCCTTCTCGGAGACAAATCATCCTGTAAGTGGCATGGTTTACAAGTGGTCAAGTTCTGCATCGGGCCATTCTGTATAGCTGCAGTTGGTAGCTGACTCCGTTCCTTCCGTGCTAGTTTTATGGGCATGGTTCCCCATCGGAGCGTGCGGTTTCCGCGCGGTTCTTCTCTTTCTCTCCAGTCTCGTCGTTTTCGTTCTGCGCGTCGGTCAGATGCATCTTGGGTCGAGAACAACTGCATCCCCGATCGGTACGTTTAAGTACCTTGTCCCACTCAACGTCATGCAAACCTTCGGCTGGTACCTGTTCTCTGCTTGGTGGTTCAGTGAGATCTACAAGTGGTCGTGTCCTACAAGCGCGCAACTTGAATGGGTCAAACGGGGCAGGTATGTCCAATATCGAGATGGATTCTGCAGGACGATTCTAACCTAGAGAGGAATCAGGCCGCACGAGCGAGCAACACTAAACGAGAGACCGATCTATCTTCATACCTACCATGTGCTGTTGGCAATTGCCCAGTCGATCGTCCATCTCTACTACGACTATGACCGCGTTCCTATCCCTGTGGTTAAGCCAGACTCTGGTGCTTCAGACCGAAGAACTCATCCGTTAGAGCCAGTCTCCAAGCGCATCCAAAGCGCTTTGCCCGGAATGATCAGAGGTGGTCTCGCAAGGAGCGCACTTGTTGCGGCGATTTGCCCGTTCGCCTACGTCCTACTCCTCAGGCGGCCAGCATGGAGCTTCACCTTGTATTTCGCCAAGCTATTTTGGAATTTTCCTAGATCTGCAGCGGATCCTCCTGGTGTTATTCCTGACTTTGGGTTTGGCCTTATGATTCGGACTGCCATATCCGGAGGGCTACTAACCCTTTGCTGGCAATCTGCGAACCTTTTCTTCTCGATGTTTATCAGCAAGGAACCCCTCAAGCTAGGTCAACCGTTGACAGCGGAAGCAAAGGATCCTAACGGCAGCCTACTGACCGGCCTAAAGGCGAAGAAGGAGACAGTAAAGGCCTTTGCATTCTGGGAGCTCTGCCTCATCAGTCAACAATTTCCTGATCGGCGAAAGGCGATTTTCAACGACATCGACCGTGAAGGTGGCTCCACCTGGACTCAGATCCTGCAGTCTGCCACTGAGGTCATCGAGGGCGTCTCTAACAGGATCAATGAGAAGAAAACCCCGACAACAAACGCGAAACCTGAGGAGCAGACCGAAAAATCACAACCTGTTCTCCATTCTCTGCCGCGCTTAGCAGAGCCTCCCAAGGAAGACAACATTTTTGCGAGCTCGCCCAAAGCGGTATCGCGTCATGAGAAAATCGGAGAGGCCTTCAGTTCAGCAGCCAAGAAGTATGGACAATCGCCGGACTGGACTCCGACAGCTAGGGCTCGAGCTCGTGATGTCTTTGACCGCGCGTCCTCAGCTGTGCTGAGCCCTGAGCGAAAGCAGAAGTTGCTCGCTTCTTCCCGGGAGCTGAAGATGCTCACCGGACCGACGAACAAACCAGAGAATGCGCACCCCCTGCTCGCACAGGTCCTTCGCTCGCCAATAGGCCTCATCCTGCGACAGACTTACGCCCGCCGGTTATCCGGAATAGTCCTCGGCACACCGCATGCAAGTTTATCTTCCATCGTTGATGCTATTGAGTCGTTGACCCGCCTCCTCATCGCAAGTCTTGCAGAGGATCAATACGGCAAAGTGCAAAGCGATGTTCCGGGGGTTGTGCGCCTCTTCACAGAGACCATCACGGTCCTTGAGCCATTCATCAACGGCGGGCTAGATGCCCACTGGACGGATGTGAACTTCCCACCCTCCAGCGACCCGGACGCCCAGGCCAACGCGCGTCGTGTCCCAGAGGTGGACCTCGTGCTGAATACAGTTAGGAGCTGCCTCAAAGACCTCTTGTCAGCCTTCAATCTATACTTCAAGGACGTTGGACTGGTTGGGAAGGATCTCCGACTAGCAAAAGAAGCTGCAGGGTTGATTGAGGATAAATATTAACTCATCTCTGCCATAACCGCGCCCTCCGGCCTGTGGCTCTGATGAGAAGTACTCTCTCGTCGTGACTTTCTCTCTACTGACCTCTACTTCTCTTTCCCAAATTTTTTGCCTTTTTCCGATTCCGTGGGCCTTTGGCTATGCATTTTCCAGGCGTTTGTTTGCCATTTTCGAGCAAGATGACAATTTTACTTAGGAATGTACACTACACCTATACTACAAATCCGAGTGACCTCATCCCAAAAGGAAGACCTCGTCTGATACCTGTAACTGAACAAGTATCCTAGCTTTTGTGTATCCTTTGTAAATGCACGCTTTCTTTTGGAGGTCTATATACAGCCACCCAGCACCAGCTGGGCCTTGCATGCAGCATATCTTGGCCCGAACTATATAGTCCAGACATGGCTCGTTGAGCCGCAGACCGAGAGACCCAAGGGTCTAAGGTGAGTGAGAAAGAAGATGGCGAGGCGAATGCGGAGATTGAGATGAGGAGAAGAAATGAGACGAGAAGATAAGAAGTGGGAAGTAAGAAGTGAAACCCAAATGGACCTATCCAAAACCAGACGAGCAGCCTCCCACAGAAATCCCCAGACTCCGAGATACCCTTGCCAAAGTCGCAATAGTAGATGATAAAATAAAGTAGATGAGATCATGTCACGTCATTTCAAAATGCCACCCCTGTGTATGTCCTGTAAACTCTTTGTCTGCTGATTATATAGTCTCCTGGTTCCGTTTTTTTGGTGTTACGCAAGCTCAGTGTCCGAGGTGAGACTTTTGAATGTGAAATGCGGCTGTGGTCCAGACGCTATCAAGTAATAGGGTGACCACGAACGAAGAACTCGAAAGTGTCATGCCCAAATGATCGTGAAGGAAAGAGAGAGAAAAGATGTTGGTTGTATGTACGAGAGTCGAGGCCGTGAAGAAGCAATGCTTGCAATCACAAAAATAGAGAGTCCTGAGAATCGTCGCAATTCGTTGCTTCTTCGCCTGCCGACCTACACACGTACTGTCAGTTGTCAGCAAGGGCTCAGAACCTCACTAATCTTATTTGATGTGAGCGACCCCGGCGTTGCTGGCGCAGCAGAGCCTGCTCCACTGCTGTGTGTGGTGTTTGTGGGTTCCGGAGGCGCCTCTTCCTTCATGCACGCGTTCTCCAAGACGTTGGTCCATTTACCACTTGTACCCGCGTGGCTGTGCTTCAGATGCTGCCGAAAATGATCCGCGCGGTAGAATTTCTTTCCGTTATTGCACTCCCCAAACTTGTGCACTGAGGTGAGATGTTCAAACCTGCGATCCCAATCGGGCTGCGGAAAGTTTGGAAACTCCTCGCCGCAGTAGCCACAAGCATCGTGAGAAGGGCCCGAATTTGTCTGCGCGGCTGGGGAAGACGAAGGGTGGAAAGCGGCTTGATACCCCGGCAAGGCGGCGCACGACCAGGAATGACGCCGCAAGTGAAGAGAGTTTTGGTGACGTTCAGCCTCGTTTTTATTCTTGAACCGATTATTGCAGAACTGGCAAGAATATTGCTTCTCCATCTCATGTGCACTGGATAAGGTATTAGTAACTAAAGATCAGTCTCGGCAGTTCAGATGGTCAAATCATACCGTAGTTCGGCCGGACTGTCGAACTTCTTAGGTTTCTTCGGACAACAGTCACAGATATATAGTCCAGCCATCTTAGGCGCAGCTGATTTTTGCACACTAAGCGTAGTCTGCAAAGACAACTTTCTCGTACTATCTGCGTTTCGTAGGTCGGGTGCGTTAGGAACTTGGGCGTTCCTCACACTTTGCTGACTAGCTAGTCCTCCGGGAGAAGTTGAACTGATTGGCGATTTGTCATGGAGAGCGTCGAAATCAGAATTCGGCGACAGCCCCCCAGGTGATGGGCGATCAAATGTGGACATGCTCGTCATACTGCTTCCTCCCATGGATATGGCCGCTGACGAATATGTCCCCGAGGTCCTCAAACTTAAGGATGATGCAGCAGACAAGCTTCCATGGCTTTGAGTGTAGGCACCATTGACCGAAAGGGTATTGGTATATGGATGTCCGGTTGTTCTTCTCTGAGAAAGATCGCCATTGCTTGTGGTCACATGGGGTGCATGTCGATTGTCTTTCACCGCCTCGCGCGGTGGTGAAGAGGCTCTCCTCTTAATACCTGACTTCGAAGCGTCCAGATAGGGTGGCGTTGCTTCACGGAGGTTGAAATATCGCGAGGGCAACGACTCATCGGTGGAAAGATCACCTTCGATATCCGAAAAAACGCCTTGGTCATAACTTCCGCGGTTTGATCGACTCGGTAAGCTGAGAGTTTCTTCACTTTGTGGTGTTGTGCCACCTCCCCGGCGCCGATATACGTCACGCAGAAAGGCCGAGTGGTCGTACTCCACCGCTGAAGAAGGGGCACTACTCTCAACACTGGGGCTTCGGTGGCCGAGATAATCTCTCCAGCCGACCTTGGTACCAGGAGATACCGCGCCAGATTGAGAGCTGCTTGGCCATCTCACGTCGAGTGTTGGTCCATCGGAACCCCCAGGAGATGGCAAACCCCCGAAAGTCCTCGGGGGAATGGGCAGCGTCGACAATGAGGCCTTGGTATCGTTACCAAGGCTGATTGATTGTCGAGGAGAAAGCGGTTTGCCTATCTTGGAAAGAAGATGTTGGTCGTATGCGTCTGATGAATCCTTTACGCTTCGTCTGGAAAAGTCTCGCTCGCCTTTCAATATGGGCCCGGGTGCATTGACGGTAATGGAATTGCGAAATCCTTCTTCCACTGGTGGCGGAGGTTCTATCTTTATATGCGCCTTCGGACTTGTCGAGACAGGCAAGCCACTTTGTCTTCCGTCCAATTCATCCAACGCCATTCGATCAGACTTGCATACAGATTCCATGCGACGATGGCCGCCAAACAGGCTAGAACCGGGATTGATTGGCGCGAGTCTTGCAGACCCAGTAGGATTTTTGGCATTCGCAAATAGCCAACCGGCATCATGGCCATCTTCGAGATCAGTGATACGCGGTGGCGGAGGAAGTGGCGGGGGAGCGAAGTTAGTTATCGATTTTACCGGTATGGGCATCGGCCTGAGGGGTGAGTAGGACTGTCTAGACATGCTTTTTGGCGATCCTTGAGTATAGCGAGATTGGTCATACCCACTGCTATTGATCTCATGCACATTGATCAATGGTGGGGAGAGTCGCGGAAAGTCCATGGTACAGCGGAGTCATCAATGGACAGATCGAAAGACGGCCAACAACCGGAAAGGACAGAAAACGTAGTCGGACTAAGAAGACAAAGGCAGCGTAATGCAGATTGCTCCAATGATTCGATCGCTGAAAACTCTTAGCCCTAGCCCTAGGAAAGGGTTCGTTTCACGTCACAGATCAAGGGTTGCGAAGGTTCACTCAAGGAGCTGATTGCGACCAGGTAAAGTTATAGAAAATGGCGGGAACAAATATTGTCAGGAGAAAGTGTGAAAGTATCTCAGAGTCTATGAAAGCGAGTAAATGGCCAGAAGTCAGGTCGGTCCGGTCCCAACGAGATAGATAGGGCTGCCGGAAGCCAATCTTCCCTTGACAGAAGGTCCTTATTTCCGATCAGTTGGACCAACGATTCGTTGCGTCAACGGCTTTCTGTAACACTCGCGCGCAACCCTGGAAAACCGTTTGTGTGCCATCAATTCGCCGGTTAATGGCAACTCATTTGCAGGAAACGGCGCGGAAACCACTGAGCATTCTGGCGAGAATCGTTTGGGGAACTTGTCTTTTTGGGGCACTGAAGAACGTTTGAATATAGACGATAGCCAAGATCCACCAGAAGTGAAAAGAAAAAGAAAATCAAAGACGGAAAATCATAAACTGGAACGGGAAATGAAGAGCGTTGGAGTACAAGACGGCTGAGATAAGGGTGGCGGCGGTGGTGGTGGTGGGATGGGCGCTGAAAGCCAGACTGCAGGGCGTTTAGGTTCTTCTGGAATCACACCAGGTTCTTGATTCCACCTAATTGGAGGATATGCTGAATGAAGCCGAATGTAATGATAATGACGGAGTCGAAAATAGAAACGAAGGTGATGTCGCATGCGTTGTCTTCAGCTAGAATGGTAAGAAGAAAATGAGAGAAGCTGTCGGTGATCCAGGCCGAGCTGCAAAGGCAATGACAGAGATCGAGGCTTAGGAAATAACCTGAGGGAGAGATGCAGTAGGTACGTGGGTAGACCTTTTCTGCCCTCTATGCAACAAAAAAGTTGAACAGAGTATGGAGGTATGCACCTAGGTACGTTCTGTTGCGTAAAGTAGTTTATAAGAAAGTTGTCGGGAAAGGTGGTGGTGCAAGCCACTGCCTTATTGGTCCCTACAGGGCTGGAGAAAGGAAGATGATGTACTCCGGAAAGTACCTAGGTGCTGCAGGGTAGTATGATTAAGGTGAAAATAAGTAGTCCCAAGGATTTAATTGAAGCCTCGTTCCTCCTGTCATTCCAGATTCTGAGCCCACTGTCGTGTCTTTCCGTCTCCGCTCTGACACCCGATGGTATTCTCAAACAAATAGGAGATGGTGATGGCAATGCATGTAATGTAGTACCGATGGTCGTACCAGAAGGAGTCGTTGAGAGAAGGAGAGGAATTCATTCAAGAGGCAAAATCAGAAGGAATATCTAATCGGTAGGACGGATTGAGGACAACAACAATAATGGTACCTTACAACAATGGTATTTAGTCCCCACCCTTCAACTGTGGTACTTGTATGGTGGCCTACTCCGTAGGTGGACACACTCCGGACAAGAATACTTTTAGCCTAGGCTTGGACAATCCCCTTTTTCCTAAGGGAAAAACCGAAAAAAAAAAAATTGGAAGAAAAATAAAAAGGAAAAAGGTCGGCTGGCTTGTAATTTATACACCTCTTGTAAATATCAAATCAAGCGAGGACTTGAGCACAGGCAGTTGAGGTACCTAAAAGAAAGAGCAGAAAAAGAGAAAAGCGAAAATTTGCAGACTCATTGCGATGAGCAA